TTGGAAAGAAATTGAAGTGTAAAACACAAAATAAAGGGGCCAGTTTCCTACCAATGGAGTCAAAGAAGTTCAGCATCATTTGTGTCCCAGATCCTGCAAGATAGTGTCTCCCAGGGCAGCACAGGGCTCTTTGGGGCACTCTGGGTTGGCTCATTTCCAAATGGCTCTGAGTCATAGTCACTCTCCTGCCCCCTGACAACCTTATCCAGCCCCTTCTCCAGACAGAACAGGTTCCTTTGGGTTCTTGTGTTTTAAGAAGTGTTGGGCTTTTTGCTGTTGTTTTTGTTTTCTAAAAACTCCTGTATGATAAGGCAGGCAGCAATGACTCAGTGGCACAATTCTATATTAACTCAAATGAGAAACCTAGTCTTATTGGCTTTTTTTTGGTACCAGGGATCAAACTCAGACCTTTCACTTGCGAGGCAGGCAGCGGAAGCACTGGGCTAAATCCCTGGCCCTGAGAAACCTAGTCTTTATGAAAAACACACACCTTTATGCAAGATACTCAGAACTCAGCAGTAGCCTCAAAAATGTATCTCAGGGCCTAACAGGCAGAGTCATTCTGGTCTGTTCCATGGTCATGTCCTTGAAACTGTATGCTTCCTCCCTCACCTTCCATGATAAAATGTGCATCTACAGGTGGAGGATGCTTCAGATGACAGCTGAGACAGGAAACAGGAAACCAAGAAAGGGAAACCCTGGTACAGCAAAGCTGCACATCTGCGGAGAGAGCTTTATGAAAGGAAATTATTTTGAGGTGTGTACTGCACAGCAGGAGAGTATCATTAGCTCAGAGAGAGCCTGGAACATCATAGGAGGGCTGCACATGGCTTGTGCCTTTGGTCCTTTCTCCACCAACAGTAAGAAATGCTCTGTGCAGACACACACAGTATCATTCCATATTGCTAAAAGCTCCTGAGAAGCCACACAGGTGCTGTCTTTTCAGCTTGGCTATGTGCCCAAGTCTCTGAGCCTCAGTTTCCCCACCTTTGCCCTTCATGTATCTCATAGAGGTTTTCTAAAAGTTACTTTTGGTCACCTTGAGGCCCACTGGGGTTTGGCTGGGCAAACATTGTCCTCAGTAACTCATAAATTCGGATCTGAGGGCTGGGATTTAGCTCAGTGGTTCTGCCACCTGAGGTCCTGAGAGTTCGATCCCTAGTACCAAAAAAAAAAAAAAAAAATCTGATCTGACTTGCTAGTGTTGCCTGGGGAGAACAGATGATACACATTCTCCGTGTCATCCTAGGCATGTCCTGAATGTCACACCAGGCCTACAGGCACAGGGAGCCCCTCCCTGACCCCAAATGCCTTTGAATTCTGGGTAAACTTTATTTTCTAATACAGAAAGTGTGCTCAGATACTGTAGCTACCATTCTGAAGTCATCAACATAGCACACAGGACAGAGTAATAAAACCACAGAAATTCCAAACTGAAATCCTCCACTTTGTTCTGAAAGACAAGTAAAAGACAATGTATTAATACCACCCTCCAACAAAGAGGCAGTGCAACATCGGAGACTGAACTTAGCAAAGGAAGACTCAAAGCTGGGCTGAACTGCTTGCTCATTTTGACCTTTTTTATTTTAAATTATTTATTGATTGATTTTGTGGTACTGGGGATTGAACCCAGGACCTTTGTACTGTGCTACATCCCCAGCTGGGTGTTTTTGTTTTGTTTTTGTGTTTGGTACCTGGGATCAAACTCAGGACCTTGCGCTTTCTAGGCAGGCAGCGGAACCACTGAGCTAAATCCCTGGCCCTGTTTTGTTTTGTTTTTTGAGACAAGATCTTGCTCAATTGCTAGATTGCTCAAACTTAGTTCCCTGCTTTCACCTCCCAGAATGCTGAGATTACTGCCCTGTGATATCAAACCCAACTTGAGCAAAAATGTAGTGTTCTTTTGGGTTTTGTTTTTTGTTTTTGTTTTTTGGGTTTGCAATGCTGGGGGTTGAATTCAAGGCCCTGTACACACTCAGCATACACTCTACCACTGAACTGTACACACGCAGCCCAGAGCATGATTTAAAGTGTGAGGTAAAAAAGAGTTCCTTCCTTTTGACTCATTCAATCTACTTTTATTAAGTTCTTCTAAAGAAGGGCTTTCCACACGTACATGACAAAGAAACGCTTATTGCAACATTTCTTATAATAGTGAAAATTTAGAACCCATAATTTTTGAATGGTAAACACCTTAGACTAGTGTTAAATCACTCTGAAGGCAGAAATGAAACATTATGCAACTGAAAAAAGTATTTCAAAGAGTATCCCATTGCATGATAACACTTCATGATATAACTAAAGAAAGCAAGCTGCAAAGTTGTGCAATTCAAAATTTGCAAAACCCTTTAGTGCATATGAATTGTCACTGTGAGAAGTATCAAAATAGAAATGGTGGTTATATCTTACAGTGATGAGTTTGCTTATTTTCTTCACTATGTTTGTCTCCAATTAAATATTCTGCAGATGTTCTGTAATACAAACTGAAACTTCTCAAAGTACCCTTAGCATTAGACATTGTTTACCTGATCCTGTTCAGGCCACCATGCCTGACGATTTAGGGCAGCATGGCAACAGATCCAGAAGCCAGCCAGCTTGGGGCTCTGCCTCTGGGGAGAGAGCTGCCAGAGCAGGATCTTTGACTCCTACACTGCTCCTCTTGCCATTTGATGTGGGTCTGGTCCTGTGGTTGAGAGACAATTGTCATATGCACACTCGGGAGATGATCCCAGTGTGCCTGGGATACACTCTCATGCACTGTGCCAGGGCCCAGTGGCCAAGAGCCAGGAGCCTGGAATGCTCCTTCCTGTAGCCACAAGCTGCCCAGGACCGCTGGGGAATGGAATGCACCCTACATACTGCAGCACAGAGCAACGAGCAAAATTATCCTTTACTCCCTTCTTGGCGAAAATGTCTACTTTCAAGAAATGAATTACAGCAATACACTATTTCCAAAGTTTACAGAATTCATCAAAGATCTCCAAAAATTCAACATAATTAAAAAATACCCAACTTATTTCTGAGACTTGCAGGTGTAATTTAATTTTTTGGTGTTTGGAGCACATCCATTTGAGATGGCTGGGACTACTTTTGAGCATATATCATCATCATCATCATCATCATCATCATCATCATCATCATCATCATCATCTTGCTTGCCTGACTTTTCTAGGATGTGCTTCACACCGTTCTAAGAACTTTAAAAACATTACTTAAACCTCATAACAAATCTACTAGGTAAGTGCTAGCATCACCATTTTACAGATGAGGAAATGGGCTCAGAATGATTAAGCAACTTGACCAGAGTCACACAGCCAGGAGGCAATCAAGTTGAGTGTCCCGAACTCCATTTATCTCACTGCCTCCAGAGCTCCTGGTCATAATTAAGAGAGAACAGTGAAATTCTCTGCAAAACTTTTTCCAGGACAAGATCATGAGGCTGAGGTGGGAAGATTGAAAGTCAGAGCCTAGCCTGGGCAATTTAGTGAATTGGCAAGACCCTGTCTCAAAAAAAAAAAAAAAATGGTCTAGAGATTTAGCTCAGTGCTAAGGTCCTAGGCTCAATTCCCAGTACTGCAACAAAAACAAAACAAAACAAAACAAAACAAAAAAACAAAAAAACAACAACAGAAAACCCCAAAAAACAAAAAGCAACTGGCTGGTTCCCCACAAGAGCCCTGAGCCAGTGGAGCCTGTCTGCGAAGTGGTTGCAGGGTGACCTCCTGTGGCTAAAGAGAGTAATCACACCCAGTGCTGAAAGGTAATGCTTACAATTGGGTGGGTTGAGGGGTGAGACTGTGGTAGGCACGTTTCCAGCGAGCCCTGGAGCCCCCATCACATGCTAGCATCAACACTGGTGGCCAGAGGCTCTCCCATTGACAGTGACAGGGCAGCATGAATGACCAACCAGAGAACAGCGCCGGCCTCAGGGGACCTTGAACGGATCAGCTGTAATACCCAGCCCCACTTCACAGATGGCAAAACTGAGTTTCCCAGAGATAGATGATCTGCCCAAGGTCACACAGCTAATGAAGAAGCTGGGATTCTAGCTGCCATCGACCAGACCCCACTCTTTGTTGATCCTGCCATCCTGTGAGAGGCACCCTGGGGCACAGGCCATCTGTACAAGCTGTGTGCTTGGAAAATTCAGGCCACTGTACAGCCTCCTTTTCCTAGCAGAAGTAGGAATAGTGATTCTCCCTGTGGCCTTTGGTGTTCTGAGCCACCTCATCAGCACATGCTTATGTATGGCCATTTTCCCATCTACAGACTTATAAGCAAATTTAGACTGGGGTAGGGGGGCAGACACACAGAGCACATCTCCCAGAAACACTGCCCAGTCCTGAATGCCTTGGAAGAGACTTTCCAGGGACAGCAGCGCTCGGGGCAGGACATCCCCTCTGCATGGCTGATGCTGGCACAGCCCTGACTCGCCCATCCCTACACCCTCTGTGGTTAGGGCTGTCATAGTTGTTTTCTCTCAAGAGGACGCACTCCTACCTTGATTATGCCCTGTAAACTTCTGCTGCTCAGTGCAAGCCAGGACCAGCTGTCTCAGTTTCCCTCGGGAGCCTGGCAGAAATGCAGAACTTTAGGCCCAGCCTGACTCACCCTACAGAATCAGAATCTGCATTCTCAGAAAGCAGGGACACCAACAGAAGAGTCATAGAATAAGACTTAGGAACAGGGAATGTGAGGCAGGGCTCTAGCCCCCAGCAGGCCTTCCTGGGTGGATGGTGGCTGAAGAAGGGAATGACAAATAGCAGGCATACAAGGAGTGATCGAAAAATAGCAAATGTTTAGCTTTTAAAATGTATAAAAGTGAAAGACACATTGTCACTAATCCCCCTCGAAATACTCCCTCTCTCTTCTAACACACTAATCCCATCATACTTGCCTCTTTCTGAAGCACTTTTGGAAGTCTTCTTTCATAAGTATCTTTACAAGGTGTGATGAAAAAGACAGTGAATATTGCTGCCGAGTGCCATCCAATTGGACAGGCAGGCTCATAAAAACATGGTGGTATGGCCTCCTGCACCTTATTCACCAGATCTGGCAATGTGTGACTTCTGGCTCTGCCCTGTGAAAGGTAAACATTTTCAATCAATTCAGGAGGCACCACGATAGCACAATAAACACACTCATGAAAAAGGACTTCCAAAGCTGCTTTAGAAAGTTGCAAAAATGGTGGGATAAGTGTGTTTGAGGTGAGGAGGACTGTTGTGAGAGAGAGTGAGGGTAATGTGCCTTTTATTGTAATAAAATTTTTTAAAGTTTTTTTTAAAATTCACCATATTTTTCAATCATACCACATAACAGTGACATGAGCTGGTTTGGAACTTACTGGGTTTGGGGTGTCACAAGACATCCAGGCAGAGGCAGATGTGGGAACCCTGGATTGGATGTATATCCTTGAGACTCATCAAGGCCATGGTCATCTGCCAGATTATTGCTGAATTCCAAAGAAGGCAAGGAGGAAGACCTCTGATCAGGCCTCAAGTCTGCCCACCTCTGATCTACAGTTTTGTTTTGTTTTGTTTTGTTTTGGGCAGTTCTGGGGATGGAACACAGGGCCTGACCCATGCGAGGCAGATGCTCTGCCACCAGCCACAAGCCCAGCCCCATGAGTGCTTTGACCTTCGCACGGGGACTCCAGTCTCCTCTGTGGCCATGGGTGGCCTCAGGACCAGTTCTGGCCAGTGAACTGCGAACTTCACATCAGCTGCTCAAACAGAAATCGGCTGCTGGTCAACTCCATCCCCGCTCTTCCCTGCTGTGAGGCGGTGGCCCTACCACCCAGCCACTTTCAGAAAGAAACCACTGTCTTCTTGCATGGGTGGTTGGAGCTGAGCATCCTTGCTAGCTGTAGACTTGACTGTTACATGTATGCAAGACATAATCTTCTATCGTGATTCACTGTATTTCAGGTGTCTTTTTGACAATATTTCAGATAGAGAAGATTTAGAATAGTATAGCAAAGTCTCCTATGATGCCTTTTCAGAGTCCCCCATTTTCCCATATTTATCCTTCTCTCTCTCCTTCAAATATATGGAAATATATTTCTTTCTAAACCACTTGAGAAATATAGACATGATGCCTCTTTACCACCATATACATCAATGGTTATTTCTAAGAAAAATATTCTCCTAAATTTATAAGATGTAGTAAAATAACCAATTTCAGGACATTTACATTGATAGAATGCTCGTATTTAGTCTCAGAAAATTGAGAGATTGCCAATGGCCCGTAGGCATCCACAGGAGCCATTGACTGACCCTGACCGCCCCACCTCCTAACAGCTCTTGTGGCTCTGAACTTCTAGAAAGAGAGCAGCACCCTCATGATCAGTCACCTTCCAAAGCCCCACCTCTGAACACATATGAGGCTTTGGGGGCACAGTCTAGATCTAAACCCTATCAAGCCAGGAAAGGTCTGGGTGGTGTGTTCACACTTTGCCAGAAAAGTTGGTAGTAAGAAATACTCTGTTTTGTAGAGTAATCAGGTGGTGAAGAAAGCTTTCCGCTTCCATGGCAGGTGTTTTACTGCAGCCCCTTCCCCTTCCACCCGCCATCCTACCTGGACAGGGGTGGACCTCCACACCTCGGTTCATTCTGCTATTCCCCAACTCTCCTTCGCTCCTGTGTCCCCATGTTCCCCAACCTTACCCCTCAGCACCCACAGGGCTGCTCAGATGCTGGGCCCCAAGGAAGTCTAGACTACCACACTTTCTACCTCTTCCCTGTGGTGGCAGTGGTGGCCTCCATGACAAGGACATCCTGCCCAGCCATGGTGCCCCTAATCCAGGTAGCATCCAGGGGCCTGGATGAAGGTGGGCAGTGTCTGCTCTGTCCCAGGTGGGGTCCTGAACAGCCTCCTACAGAGGGGTCCCTATTTCCCAGCTCTGGGGACCACTGGGCATAGGCTAGCCTGAGGAAGGAGAGGGTAGAACAAGAGGGAAGGGCCCTGCTGGGCCAGAGCAGGTGGTGGCCCTGTCTACACCCAGAACACTCAGGCTCTCTGTAGGTGCGACGAGCTGTTGCTGTAGGGTTGATGCTAGCAGGGCAGGATGTAGGAACTTCTCCCCGATGATGGGGGCATAACCTGGCAGCATGACAAAGCCCCCTCACCTTGGCTTGCTGCCAAGGACTGACACAGAGTACACCTCTTTGTAATTAATACAGGGTGAAGCTTAGCATTATACATTAGCATTATGAATTATACAGCAACTAATGGGGATGAAAGCTGGTGAGATCAGGCCCAGCACTGCCGGGACCTTTTGCTTGGTGAGCCTTTCTTACACACACCTCACCTAAAGGTACCACCCTCTGAAACAGTTAGACTAACCCCAATGAAACTTTGTCTGCATATGCTACAGATATAGGCCACATCATCCCAGGATTCCCTGAAATGTAAACTGGGGTCTTCACCCAGCACTGTACACAGAGCTTTCTGTAACATATGGCCTGTGACCTCATTTCTTTAGTAAAGAAGGCTAGGGAGGAGAAACCACATTCCTGCTGGAAAGAAAAATCTAACAGTCCCCTTGCTAAAGGCCCCATGGTCTCTAGGGCACAATATCAGCCCAATGACCTTAACCCTGCAGCTGCTGCCTGCGTGTGTGTGGTTGTGTATGTCACTGTTGCAACACAAAATGTATCAGCCTCGGGAAGATAGCGGGGTCCAGCTAGAGAGGACCAAGGAAGGAAGGGCTGGGCAGGAACTGTTCATGTGAGCCCTCCAAGTAGGGTCAACTGCCGTGGAAGCTGAAAGCTTCCTTCACCACATGGCAGGAGACTGTGGCCACTCCATCTCAGCACTCTGCCTGGTGTCCCCCTGGCCAGGCAGGAGAGAGTGCTGGGGCCTACCAGAGAGTGCCCTTTCTGGGATCTGCAAACACCTGAAACCTGGGGGATCTTGGGAAATGGGTGTGTTCAGAGCCAGCCTCCAAGCAACCACAAATGTCCACCATGTAGTGACCCCTGCTGGTCTCTGCCGGCTCCCTCCGAGGCTCTCCCCTGCTTCCAGGAGGTGGGAGCACTGGGTCCCTGAAAGCCTGGACTTCTGTCAATATTTGCCACCAGCTGGACCCTGAAAATATCCCAAGACTCTTCCTGAAGGACATCAGTGTGCCCTGGAGCAGTCCTCACCAGCTATCTCTAAAGGCCAGCTTTCATTCATTCCACAATGATTAGTTGTGCAAGATGACATATTGGGCAGAGATTAGAATCACCCTGGGGCCAACCTCAGGAAGCCCACAGTTCAGTGGGGCATCCTATGCCCTTGCCAGACATCTTTACTCTCATTTTTCTGTGCACCTACAATGGGAGCACCCCAAAGTCCGGGAGCCAAAGCTACCAAAGGGCATGGCAACGAGTCTGGAAGGTGTGTGAGATGCTGTATGTACACATATGCACAAAGCCTGTGATGCAGCCATGTCTGATCCGGCAGGAAACACAAGAGTAAGGGAGGCACCACTGTCCACCTCCCCTGCAGCCTGCAACAATGGCATTGTGAAGGAACAGCAAAGCTCCAGAGCTGCTTCTCAAACTAATACCTGATGGAACCCCACTCCAGGTGGAAGGAATGAAGGCAGTAGAAGTGTTTCAAATAAGTTTGAGAAATGCTGAGTTGAAGGGAAGTTTGATTGTTCTTGGAGGTCTTATCAAAACTTGTACTATGTTACAGTATAGCCTAGGGATGGAGGTGTAGTTCAATGGCAGAATTATTTACCTAGCATACACAAGACCTTGGGTTCCAACCTCAACACCACAAAAAAATGCAAACACAAAAAAAGAAAAACAAAGTATAGCAGACTTTATTTGCCCCAAAATGGTTTGTCATAGACCTTAAAAAGAGGGTTTCATGAAACACAAATTGAGACTGCAGCTCCCAAGTGTCCTAATGCTGCAGGGCACCGTGTCTCACACAGTAAAGAAATCTCAAAGTGTGCTCCCCTCCCCAAGAACAGACTAAAAATCAGTTCTGGCCTCCCTGACCCACTGGATCAGGAAGTCCAGAGGTTGAACTCAGCAATCTGTTACAACAAACTCTCTCTCCAGTCTAGTTGGTCCTGAAACGCACTCCAGCTTGAGCATCACTGAACAAAGAAATGTGCCAAGAGCACCAACATCCTGCCCCCTCCTCCTTCGCTCCTGCTGGAATCCTCCATGTTTATGGCCCAGCTCTCCTCTTCCCTGGGCAAGGAAGCTTCTTTCCCTGCCATCAGTCGCAAAGGACAGAGCTGGATGGAGGGGTCCTGTGTGAATGCAGAGTGGACAAACACTAATTCCAAGTGAGGGCCTGGAAGATGATTTGGGGACAAGGTGTCGGGTAAGTACCGAAAGGTAAAGAACCAAGTGGAAAAAACAGAAGCCCACAAACCTGTGCTGGCCGCACCAGGGGTTACCTGCCAGGGGGCGCTGCAGAAACAAAGAAAGAAGGATGCCCCTGGATGTCTCCCCCTAGATGTCTCCCAGGGAAAGGGTCTCATTACTGTGATGGTGACTAGGAGAGGGCCCTCCATAGTAGCCGGAGAAAGTGAAATATCCCACCACCTGTGACCACAGCGAGACGGGGCTGGTGTCGAGGGGCAGGTGAATGAGCTTGGCCCCCACAGGATCCCCTTTGCTCCCTCCTTCCCTCCTGCCTGCCCATCCCCACCAGGAGGCCACAGACACACAGCAAGAGGCAAGGAGGGACAGTGGCTGGGGTCAGGACCACAAATCTAGAGTGAGTAGATGGGCTCAGCAAGCTGGGTGCACAGCTGGAATCCAAAGGCTAGCATGAGTCTGAGGTGCAGGCTTGTTTTTAGGGGGATGGGCCTGCCAAGGACACAGATGTCACTGCCACACACCAGGATGCATGCCCTGGAGAACTTTTGTAGCTGGAAACTGGGCTGAACTAAACAAAAGTAGTGCGGTGACCCCGGCAGCTGCTTCTGTGCCAGCTCCTCAGGTCACACTGAAGTGACAATCTGAGGCTGAGGCCAGCTGGCAGCTCCCTACAGGGCTCACACTCCACCCCTAAATGAGACTGGGTTACCATCACCCATTGCCTCCACTGATGGGGGGTTGGGTGGTATTTTACAGGCTGTGTGGATGTCAAAGTCACGTTTAGCTCCTTTTGGTGGCTTCTTAAATCCTGAAAGATTCAAATTGTGGCAAGGAACTTCTCCACCAGAAATTGTATGGCTAGTTTTGGAAATCTCCCCTTAACTCAAGGGTATGATATTTTGGGAGTCTCCCATGAGTTTGATCTGAATATACATAGATACAGTGTCAACTCAAAACATTAACTCAACATCCCAGAAGTACTTGTGGAAGCACTAGTTTTACCTTAAAGCCCACAGACGTGTGCAGTCTAGCCAGGCCCACCTACCCACAAATCCAGAGGACAGGAAGGAGGAGAAGGCAGGCCCAGACACAGCCTGCCAAGGACCTCTGCGGCCAGCACATATGGGCCAGCCACCAGCTTACCCAGACTAGGCCCAAGGACAAGCCCAAGTTAGCAGCTGAGCCCCTCAGATGATGGTAAAGCTACCACCTGAGTGGGATTGAGGGTGTCTGGACAGAACAGCCTAGTTTTATGATAACAACAGAAAAGGCAATGGGCTGATTTAAAATTTCAGCTTCCAAGTTTTTCTCTAAAAAGTTAGAATTGCTCCAGAACAGTTTTTGCCTTATGTGAACCACACATGCCTGCCTCTCATTTCCACCTCTTCTTAATTCAATGTCCCCACCAAACACCCCTTGCCCCTTAGGAGCCAGAGACAGCCAGCAGCCTGGGGCACCACAGCTGTTCAATGGCCAGGCCAGATGGGTTTGGGCAGCTCCTATTTGGAGGATGACACCTGGACCTCATGTTTTGTCAACTGAGTCCATGAACCACCCAACTGTGGCTGCACATATAATTGTGAGTCACATCACAGGGTGTGCAGGCCTGGACTGAGTAGTGAAGAGGGACATCGTGAACAGTATTCACGTCACTCCTCCTTTCCTGAGCTGCTAAATGGTTTGCAGTTATTCACCTGAATTCAGACTAGGACAAAGGATCTCCATATGTTAAGAAGGCCCTTTTATGACATGATTTCCATTTTGAGGGCCATCCACAGCACTAAAACATCAATAAAAATAGTCAACCCCAATCGAGCATTTCTATATCAGACACCGTGCACAGCATGTTACTTGTGTGTTCTCATTTAATTTTGGGGAGAGAACATCATGGACAATCGGGTAGCAGCTGTGAGGGAGGGAGTACTGGATATGTTCACTGGAGGGAAGCAAGTACACTGAGGCAGAGATGATAAAGAAAGCTAGACGCAGGAAGGTGAATGTAAAGAGACCCATGTATCAAAATCCAGTATCAGGCTGTTGAGAAACGGACAGCAGCCTGCTTCTGGTTTGGGCACCCCTTGCATCCCAGGTCCAGTGTGCACACCATCTTGGAAGAGGGTTAGGTGCCCTGAGGGAGGCAGTGACTTTTCAGGAAAAGTCTTACTACCCTTCTACCCTCCCCACTGGGAAGAGGAATACAGCCAATGAGATATTGGCAAATCAGGGCATCTGAGAAACAGAAAGCCCATGAAGCAGGTGGTGTGTGAGGGATCCCACGGGTGCTGGGGAATTTGAAATCAAGTGCACCATTCTCATCAGGGACCTGGAGCTGAGTGCTGAGAAAACTGCAGCCAACGGGCTTTGGGGAGGCCCTGGGGAGAAAGGAGACCAGACAGACCCAGCAATAAGCATTTGCCTATTCCTCCTCCAAACACCAGGAGTGTCCCCACCTGAGGACATCCTGCAGGCTAACTATGCCCCTTGTCCCACACCCACTGCCACCCTCTGAGGCTCCACCAAGTTCCTGGGTTAAGGTAGTGCTCCTGTTCGTTACCTTACTTCCAGGACCATGAGGTAGTGCTGCCACTCTTACCATTCCATCCTCTTGTGAGTGTAAGGTAGTGCTCTTGTCCTTATCATTCCATATTCCTGAGAGTATCAGGTAGTATGCCTGTGCTTACCATTTCACACAGGAGTGTGTGAGGTATTACTCCCATGAGTACCATTCCAGTACCTCCATCCTCATCCTTACCATTCCATACCTGGTGAGTGTGAAATAGTACTTCTGTTGTTACCATTTCATACTCTGGGGAGTGTGACTCTTTCATTATCATTTCAACAGTGGGGAACTCAAGGTTAAGAATTCACCCAAGGACCCAGAAAGTAGGCAGACTAAATCCTGACATTCTGACTTTTAGGCGGTTGATTAGGGCATAGCAAAGTGGCTGGGTAAAGGGGCATTACCTGTCAATCACAGAGATACAGGAAAAGCACAGAACAGCTTCAGAGCTCTGATCCTGGGACCAGTAAGAGAATGCTATCTTCAACTCTTCTGGCATAAGATCAACCAGCATTTTTACAGGATGTCCTTGCTCTGACATCAGAATGGGAGTATGAAAGACAGCAGCCATTAACCTCATGGCTATTGTGAGCCTTTGCACAGGCCTGCTCTGTACTTCGCAGAGCATATTTCTTTTCCACCCTTCAATCCTACTTTTAATAACTTTAATAAATCTAAAACCTTGATACTTCATCTCCTGTCCAATTCTTTGTTCACGACAAGAATTTGGAAAGAATTCTAGAAGGGGCCCACAGCACCCCCATATTCCCACCCCAACAACTCCAGAGACCACCATCTGAATTGCATGGGCCTATTGCCAAACTCTTTAAGGTAGAGCCATTGTTTGAATTCATAACTAAGATGTGACAATAAGTACGTATTCATTGATTTACTCACCCAGCCAGCAAGCATGTGATGCTGGCAAGCCATCTGCCTCACCGAGAGGCAAGGGCTTTCCTGCAGCTACCACAGGCTGACCTCTCCCAGTAGTTCTGGGGCCTGTAGTACAGGTGGCCATGTACCAGGTTCCTCTGGAGTCAATGCTCTGGGTCCATTCCTAGAACACCAAACATGATTCTAAGTGGGTGTGAAATGGCACAATAAACTTCCACAAGCCTGTAAATGCAAACACTGCTTCCTTCAAAAACATTTTATATAAAAAATCTGGTGGGTGGGAGGTGGGACACATCCAAGTTCAGGCAAGTTGCCCACAGCCTTCCCACTTTCTCAGTCCGGGTCCTGGTGGATCCCTCCTAATCCAAAGTCACACATCACAGGAGGCCACACGGCCAGCAGCTCCTGCTCCTCCCTTCTGCGGGACAAGATGGAAAGTGGAAATCTGTCAGGTCACCCTGTGAAGGTCACTGGGATCGGGAAGGTTCCCTCTGTCTGGGTTAGGATTAGAGTGCTTCCTGCGCTGGGGATAGATGGGCATCAGGACTGGAACCTGGGACTTGTAGTCCACAGTAACCATCCAGTGACCACTGAGTGGGCAAGGCAACTTCAAAATTGAAAATAACAATGAAAATCATAGTTGATAACTAAACAATAAACCAAAAAAAGCAGTAACTAAAATGAAAAATCTTTAAATATTTGGTAGAATTTCCAGGGAAGCCACTTGGCCTGGAAATTCCTTGATGAGAATATTTTAAACTGCAAATTTAATTTCTTTCAGTACTTTAGAATGATTTGGTTATCTATTTCTTCTTCAGTGAGATTGTATCTATTAAGGAGTCTGATTTTTTCAGATGGTGAAATTTATAAACATAGTAGTCCCTAGTACCTTCTAGTGTGTCTAATAATCAATAGTGACGTTATCCATCTCCCTCCTTTATGGCAACGTGTATTTTGTGTGATTAATATAGTAAGAGATTTATCAATTTTATGTTTCTTTTCAAAGAACCAGCTCTAGATTTCACTGCGTTGTTCTATTATTGGTTTTGTATATCTTTGATCCTTGCTCTGATCTTCATTATTATCTTCCTTCTGCTTATTTTGGTCTGACAGTTTCCAGTTTCTTAATGTAGAAACTGAGGTCCTTTATTTGAGACCTTATTTTTTTGGTCTGAACTACAGTCTGTTTTGGCAAATATCCCTGGTGCACTTGAAAACACTGTGTTCCACTGTTTTGGAGCATCAGATAAGGCACACTGGTTGATAGTATTATTCAAATCTCATATATTTATAAAGTTTTTGCCTATTTAGACTATCAGTTGTTGAAAGGAACATTGAAATATCCAACTATAGTTACAAATTTGTTGATTTTTCAATGAAATTATCTGAATTTTTAGTCTTACATTTTGGAAGTCTATTATCATTCATGTAAGTGTGCAGGATTGCTATATCTCCTTGGAGATTGACCCTTTTTCCTTATTAATCAAGCTCCTTTTTCCATGACAAATGCTTTGCTCTGAAATCTGTGTTGCTGTAGAAGCCACTGCAGTTTCCTTCCATTAGTATAAACATGGTTTAACTTTTCCTGTCTTTAATTTGCACCTTTTAAAAATTTGCCTTTATACTTAAATTGTGTATCTTTAGGGTAGAAAATAGAGATATGACTGGCTTTTACTGCAACCTGACAGCCTGTACCTTTTCTTTTCTTTCTTTTTTTTTTTTTTAGTACCAGGGATCAAACTCAGGACCTTTTTATCACTTTTCTTTGCCTTCCTTTATATTAATTAATTGGATTTTCCATTTTTTTAAACTTATTACTATAATTCTTTTTATGGTGATGGTAGTCATTGGGGTTTATAGTGTACATTTTCAAATTCCTTTAAGTGATATTAAAGGAAGAGAAAATACTTCTTAAATACATTTTACTACTGCATGTATTCTACAAAAGCTCTGAAGTAGTCTATGTCTACTTCTCCCTTCCTAGTCTTTATGCTACAATTGTCATACATTTTACTCGTATGTACATCATGAATCTCACACTGAATTTTTTGTTTATACAACTTTATCCTTTGAAGAAATTTAAATTATAGTACCATTGTAAAATTACCTTAGCTCTTCAGTTCTTATTTAGATTTATGTTTCCTTCTGCTGTCATTTTTCTTATGTCTAAAGATTCATTTTGACATTTTTGTAGTGCTGGTCTGTTGCTGAGGAACTGTTTCAGTGTTTGTGGTCTGATAAAGTACTTACTTCATCTTCATTTTTGAAAGCTATTTTCTTTGACATAGGATTCTGTGTTGACAGTATGGTTTTCTGCTCTATGCTTTAAAGATGCTGTTCCTTTGAATTCTCTCTTATATCCATATCCACTCACACACATGCACACACATGCATCAATTCATAGTCATATATACACACTATGCATATAAAATCCATGCACATATGTGCATATGTATGTCCACCCACACTCATATATCTATCAATTCAGAGTCATATACTCTCCATGCATGCAAATGTCCATGTATCGTGTTCATCCTCATGTGCAAAACATGTCCACTCATGTCTGCTCACATACATACAGATTCATACATACTTGCATCACTGCACATTTATACACACAACATGCATATATAATTCTGTGCATATATGTCCATACATGTCCACACATGTTCACTCAGACACATGCACACATGCAACTGCCATCGCCATCCCTGACAGAATGACCTGCAGAGTGAGGTGCTTAACTTTAATTGTTCTGAAGGTGGTCCCTAGGTACATCCAAACCCCAGAAATATCCTCTGATGGCTTGTATTAAACTCAGTACCTCCTAAAAAGTTCCTTATTACATTTCACAAAACTACTTGAGAAAAGTGAGTACAACAAAATAAAACAAGCAGAAAAGAAAAGTGGTACACTCTTAATCTCTGTTTAATGATTTTTTTCACACCAAGTAGATATTGTCCCCACACACAGTGAGCCTAGCATTTCCTACACACCACTCACTGTCAGCTCCTCATTGGATGTAGCTGCCCAGAGCTGGAGTCAGGGACCTCTAGATTAGGTAGGACTTGGAAAGAAAGCTCATTCTCCAGAAAAGCGTCCAGTAAACCCGAGCTGATGTCTGCTAGCATGAAAGGCAAAAAACTGTAATGTCGTACATAATGCCACCAAAGAATGAAAACATTTTCAAGAGGTCAGTTAAACTCTGTTAGTCATTTACACTTTATTCTGAACAGTGTCCTCACAGGTTATGCACTGCAAAAGGATTCAACCTCAGGTCTCACTCCTTCTGTCCCCACAGAATTGTTTCAAGGGAGTTACGGAAGGATAGAAAAAGAACAGAAGGTCAACAGGAGAGCTCTAAACATAGACCAAAAAAAACAAAAACAAAACCAAATATAGTTTTCTGTGAGACAGGCACCAATGTGTGTGGCAAGGTTCATTTTCCTGAAGATTCTGTGAAATTCAGGTGGTTTCGCTATCTTTCTATCACTATAACTAATACCTAAGATGATCAACTTATAAGAAAAGTTTTATTTCACCTCACAGTTGTGGAGGTTCCGATACACAGCCTAATTGCTTTGGGGCTCATGGGCAACAGCACCTCATGGCAGGACAGCACAGTGGAGCAAGACCCTTGGCCAGAAAGAGAAGAGGAGAAGCAGTGAAGAGGTCTCAATATTTTCTTCAAGAGCACACCTCTAAGGGCACACCTGAAGATCTTCAAGGGTACATCCAAACATCTCCACTAGACCCCAGCTCTTAAAGGTTGCACCAGATCCCAAAAACAAATCCCTGGAGACGAAGCCTCTAACAGGGTTCCTTGGGACCCATGAAAGCTATAGCACCAGTATCCTGTGATGGTGCAACTCGGAGACCAAAGCAGCTCTTTAGAGCTCTCTTCAGAGCTTGAGACACTAGACTGATTAAGCACAGAAAACAAAATTTGCACCTATAATTTTTTTCTTCTTTTTAAAAATTAATTTATTGGTACATTTTAGGTATACAATATAATGACATTCACCATTGGAAATTTGCACCTGTACATAATCTCTCTTGGTTCTTAGTTTTTCCCCATTCCCCTGCCCTCCCTTCAACCCCTCCATTTCTCCCTATTTACAAAGACTTTGTTTTCATTTTTTCATTTTCTCATATTAATTCCATTTCCTTCTTTCCTTTTCCCCTACCCCTCCCACTTCCCCTTCCCCTCTGCCCCTTTTTCCACCTACTTTGCATTATCTATTACACCTTTTAGTCCTTATTTACACTTTCAGGTTCTCACACTGGAGAAACTATTCAGTATTTATACATGT